GCCGGAAACGCAGGTACTAGCCGCGCCGCTCGGGAGACCGACGGCCCTCCGCCGAGCCGCCGCGCTGCACTGTTCCGCCCCCCCCGCCCGCTCGCTCGCCCGCTCCAACACCGCGGCCCTGGTGAAGCCCTTCGCTCTCCTTCACCCGCGGCCTGAGGCCTTGGGCCGTGGCGTCGCCTTTGCGTCTCCCGTTCTGTGCTAGTGCTCCGTCTGGGTGGGCGCCCCGGCCCCAGGAGTCGCGTTGGGGCCCCGGCCTACAGGTTTGCCCCCGAGGAAACTCGCGGCGCAGCGCGTCCTGCTTTGCCCGACCGTGCCCTCCTCAATAAACCTAGCAGCTGCTCCACCAAGAAAATGTGGAAAGCATCCTCTGCAATATGTTTGGGGACTAGCGATTTGTGACAAAGGCATGAACATCTCTGAGGAGTGCGTGGAGGTGTTAAGAGGTCTGCCTCTGCTCCTGCAGCCTGTGGAAAAATCCCCAAGAAAAGCAGGCTCCTGCTTTGCCCGACCGTGCCCTCCTCAATAAACCTAGCAGCTGCTCCACCAAGAAAATGTGGAAAGCATCCTCTGCAATATGTTTGGGGACTAGCGATTTGTGACAAAGGCATGAACATCTCTGAGGAGTGCGTGGAGGTGTTAAGAGGTCTGCCTCTGCTCCTGCAGCCTGTGGAAAAATCCCCAAGAAAAGCAGGCTGGCATAGGCAGATTTACTAGTTTGTCTAGTCAGCTCTCTTAGAAAAGTATTTTGCTGAGGGAGGAGAGCTCCTCTTTTTTCCGTCACCTTTGCTTGAATGTTGTGTTTGCTTCTTGGCAGGCACTGGAGGCCTTTCCACAGTGTCTAAACTTTTTGCATTGTAAGAAAAGCAATTAAAACTGAGCCTTTGCAATTGTAAAGTAAAACTGAACTTTAGGGATTTAATTTCTAAAGAATGCTAGTCCTAATGTATTTATTTTTTTATATATTCTAAAAGGGAGCACAGTATGACTTTTCAGGCAAAAATACCTTGGTAACTTTTTTTTTTTTTTTTTTTTGTGAGAGCAAGTCATTTCTTTTCTTCCTACTCTGTCTCCCAAAAGTTATGCATTAGGTTATATGAATGCATAAAAATTTAACAATGTCTAAGAAGAGGTATTAACATAATAAAACCTTTCCAGAACACCTGCGACAGACAAGAATCCTGTCCAGCTCACAAGATAAAATTTTAGTTCCTGATTCTGGACCAGCAGTGGCAAAACCTCAGGTGGCTGTGGCTCCTGTGGTAATCTCAAAATTGTCTGCGAACGCACCTGAGTTTTATCCCTCAGGATACAATCCAAACTTTGCAGTGAGTATTTAGCTTCTCTCCTTAGTATATGCCAGTTTGCTTATATTCAAATTAGCGATGTTTTCCTGAGATCATGTGTAGTAGACAGCTTGAATGCTGCACTGGCCAAAGAGAATCCAAAATTTGAGACACAATGTTAAGTGTTAATGAGTGAATAACAGGGAGTGCTTGAGAGCCTTCAGTGTAGGATGATTCGCTGAAGTTAACTGCAGATAACTGCATTTCTTCTTGATTGTACCAGGCACTGACTTCCCCAACATGAGAGCAAGCTGTCTCTTCTGAGACTGCATCTGTTGTAGCTGCATCTACACCACATTTTAAGTAGAGGCTTAGCTTCACTTTCATTAAGATTTCTCACTTTTTTTTTGAAATGAGTGTGAGAGAAAGTTTGAGCTTTGCTTAGAAAAGCATTAGGCATCCCTTTTCTATAAATGTGCTGAGTCTAGCAGTGATTGACTTTCAATGTCCAACTGCATTTATCATCATGTGTCTTACTGTATCACCAAAGGGCAAAATTGTATCACTGAAAGAAAAGTATGGTTGGACTCCTTCCTAGCAGCCATATACCTATGTTGGGATATTTTGACTGCCAGACTGAAGAATATTCTTAGATTTGTGTTGTAGATGTCCCATGTAAATATAAGCCAGATGCTTCTAATTTTCTTCTGTGTTACTGGTACAGGAATTTTGTTCCAGGAGAGACCTGTGTTAATCCTTGTAATAACCTTTTGTTATGCGAGCAGCCAGACTGGTGGGTGGATGTGTGGAAACTACTATTTTTACAAATCTATTTGCTTCAACTTAATTGCATGTTATATATATTTTGAATAACTAATAGAAAAATACTTACCTGAATATTACATCAGGTGTTTTGGTGTTTCCCCACCACCACCCCCACTGAAAAAAAAAAGATGTTATCAGGATGTTACAAGCTATGCCGGTTTACTGAATAAAATCACTCTTCTGAATAATGCAATCCCATAGCCAGTAGACAACTGTTGACAAAATGCCAACATGAACATGCTTCAGTAAATGGATAATCCACAGGGAGAAAGAGTGCTTTGCCCTAATACATGTTATATGTGTTCTCTAAATGAAGGCTTTTAGTTCCTTGATCAAAAAATGCTCTTTGGAATGAACAGTGATGTTGCTTTACAACAATTTTATGAAACGCACAAGCATGTGGGAGTTTTTAGCTGCCATGTTGTAAGAATATGTTATGAATATAAATGACTGATCTTAATAAAAAGAGCTTTAAAATGCTAGTAAAACCTAAAACTCTTATCTGGAGGTATGTTTGGTATGTTGTAGGGACCATAATCTAATACTAGGTTTCCATAATAGGCCTGGAATAGTGAAGTTTCAGAATTGTTATTCATTCACTGTTACATTGTGAGTTTTTTTTGTTATTTTATTGACTGAATTAATTTAATAAATTGGGTTCATCTTCAGCAAAAGTGTGAAATTTTGGAAACTTTACACAAATCTTGTGTTTGGCAATGATAAAATGGAAGCAAAACAATTTTGAGAAGCTTGTTTCTCTGAATTAGAATGAATACTTCTAACTTTTATAATGTTCCTTAGAGTTTTAGATATGAAAACTCATATTTCTCTGAAATAATATACAGCTTTTATACAGCTTTTTTTGCTGTTAAGCAAAAGCATTAAGCATTTAAGTTTTGCAAATTTGTTGTTAGGTGTGTATAATCTGAAGGAAAAGAGCTTTTTTTCTACAAAGTCTGAAGAGAACAGTGAGGGTGACAGAGCACTGGAACAGGCTGCCCAGAGAGGTTGTGGAGTCTCCTTCTCTGGAGATCTTCAAAACCCACTTGGACGCAGTCCTGTGCCACGTGCTCTAGGTGACCCTGCGTGTGCAGGGGGGTTGGACTAGATGACCTCTAGAGGACCCTTCCAACCTTAAGCATTCTATGATTCTATGAACTCAAGTTGATGATAAATTAATGGTGGCTAAGTGTGAGCAGAAATGTTGTGAATACTCACGTATACTAGTGTTTGGCAAGTGCTGAAACAGGAGCTGAGAGCAGGTTTGGATCATGAATATTTTGCTTTTTTGTTTGGCTATCTATTTAGCCTTTATTTAGCCATTGTTATGCCTTTAAACTCAAACTTAGGAGAGGCAATGTCAGAGCAGCTCTTTTACAAGCTACAGAATTCACTATTCTGGGCTGCAAAGTTTTCAAATAAACTGATGAGATGCTAGTTGTGCTGTACAGGGTTAATATAAGCTGCAGTTGTTAGTGTCACATTTCTGGGGAGCAAAATAGTGTAACTTCATTGTTTAGAACGTTCACTGGGCTATTCGAAAGTGCCTTGTAAAAACTGGTTTCCTTTACAGAAATAGAATATTTAGCAAGTTGCACGGAGGCCTGTTAGCTTATGGAATGAAGGAATAAAAGCTCCAAACTATTGAAATCATAGAACACAGTAGGTTAGAAAGGATCTCTGTAGGTCAGCGGAGCCATCCACCAGCTCAGAGCACAACCAGCGTGGATCGGGTTGTATAGAGCTTTGTCATCATCAGTAGTAAAAACTTGCCACCAGTTCTTTAAGTCTTTAAGAGCTTTTTTTTTTTTTTTTTTTTTTTTTCCTATTTCTGGTGTGCTACATTAAGTCCCTTTAAGTCTTATTCAGAATTGTTTATGGGGCAATTGTTTCACTTAAACTAAAAAGACATTCCTGGGATACCTAATTATCTTCTGTTATTTTGAGCATTTGCCCCATTAGCTTAGGTTGTATACCCTTAGAACATGCTTTAAAAAAAAAAAAAAGGAAAGTCTGCAAGTTTTCTCATGTCCTCTTTACAGCCCTTGAAATTAATATCAGTATTTGATTTTTTTTTTTTGCAGTGTTTCTCTTCATTTCTATATAGTTCGTATCCAGGTGTTTGGCTTTCACAGATGACAAATGTGTTGCTCCTCAGTAGAGGAGAAACTGATGCATATTGAAGCCAGAAAGTAAAAGACACCTGCTCCTTCAGGGAAGGGTGGGGAAAGGGGGAATGAAAATATAAATCTGTTCAATGTATGTATGTCCACTGAAGAAAGAAAAAATGTTTGTGTTTTAGCTCAATTTTTCACTGCAGTGTGTATTTTAAATCTTTTTCTTATTAAATAGTTGGTCAGTTGAGAATGCTGTTGTTCTCAGTGCTACCCTTAGGTTTTGAATCACTAAGTGTAAGTTTAGTTCTTTAGCAATCCTCCTTTGGGCTTTGGCTTTCGTTTACAAACGCTCGTATAAGATACTATTTACAAAATCAATTATTTTGATTTCCATTTCTGGATGGACATTTTGTCCATTTCTGAATGGACAAAATAAACAATATTCTGGCATAAACATTGGTGAGGTTGATATTGTGCTAGCTCCATTCTTTAGGAAGCAGGAGCGTCTTTTTATTTGATATCAGTAACTTCTGATTAATGCATTGCCACTTAGTTTCATTTGATGCCTAGCGGTCCTCATCTATTGACAAGCAGTTTGTTGGTTTTAGAAGATTAATTTTTCTGGCTTTATTGGACATGGAAAAATTACACTATATTTACTGTATTTCTTTAGTTTATCTCCTCCTGCTTATTTTGGAGCACTTCTCTATGTAATCACAAAACATTTTATTTCCAATGTCTAATTACTTTTCCTTACACAGTTCGTTTATTTGCAGTACAATTCGAGTACGCATCAGGCAAGAAGGGTTATGAAGCTCAGTTTTGTGCTTATGTTCTGAAGAGATTCACTTATTTGTTTAAGGGGTTAAAATTTTAGTCTTGCATGCAAGTTGGTAAACCATTTGATTTTCTTTTTAGCTTATCTTTTTGACATGTTTGGTTAGGAGACTGTAATCTGTATAATGACAGCTGACAGTTTTTAGAATTCTAGAGCTTAATGGAGCTTTCTGGTGCATTGAGGCGTATGCTGTCTAAAAATGTTCAAATATATCACGTAAAAAAAGATCACTATCAAGCATGAGAGTATTAAGGGTTATTTAAGACTAAGGGCTATACAGCTACTTTTGGAGATGGTAAGTTTAACAGCTTCATTTTAGGTTCTTTTCAAATTGTTGATAAATTCCTTCACTGCTGTAGGAGCCTCCCTTTGAAGATGGATGTGATGGCTATCTGCCTTTGACAGAGTATGTACAAGATTTCCTAAATCACCTCACTGAGCAACCGGGTTGTTTTGAAACTGAAATAGAGCAGTTTGCTGAAACATTGAATGGCTGGGTCACTACGGATGAAGCTTTGCAAGAACTCATGGAACTCATCTATCAGCAGGTAGTCTGTGTGTTCAGTTTTATGAAGTGGATATTATGGTCCTCTTCCCTGCTATCCAAGATATGCATATGGGTATAACATAATATTTTATTTTGGCTTTATATTTCTCTTCCTTTTTTTTCTTCTTTTTTTTTTTCTCTTTTTTTCTTTCTTCATTTTAGACTGAACATTATGGGGAAAATTTTTGCCTCATAGTGTGAAATGACTGATCGAGGGTGGGGTAGTTGCTTGGTTGATAAATTTTCAGTTTACGTTGTTTCCTTTCTTGTGTCTTTGTATTTCCAGAGGCATAGACTGGTGCGTGAAATTCAGCAATTTAATTAAAATATGTTTTATAGTAGAGATTGAACAATCCCCTTAAGCCACATCAAAGTTTTCCATTTTTCTTCCACAAAGATAAATTAGCTTCATAATACTTTCATATTTTTTCTTTTCATAGTTTGCTATTTTAAAAATTAAACACTCTCCTATTTTGCACATCACCTTTTGGGAAACATTCAGTTATTGACTGGTTTTGTTCCTTATTTGGAATATACCTATTTCAGAACAGCATAACAGAGAAAAAGAAAGCTAGTCTGCTGGGTAACTAGGTCCAGTTCCATTGACAGCCATGGAAATGAGGACAGAGACCTTAGATTGAACTCCGTGCTAATTGAGGGAACCATTGGAAAGAACAGCTTAATCTGTGTTGCTAAACAAATAAGCTGCTGCTACTGCCTTTGGGCTTGCTGAAGAGAATAAGTGGCACTTGTGCTTGATGTTTATTACATTGGATATCTTTTTCCTATTTTGGTTTCTGTCAAATTCTGTTTTTTAAGAATGCGAGCAATCCATTTTTTATTCACTCTTAAGTGCAGATACTTGCACTTTTTTTTTTTTTTCTTTCCTCCCCTGAAATAATTTGGGGTATATAGAGCTGCATGACTGATTGGTGTTCATAGAGTACTGTAGGGTATGAAGTTTCTTACAGAACTAATGCATGTCTAATTCAGCATGTTTTCAGTTCAGCTAACTTTTGAGATTGCCTATGCATTGTGCTCAAATAGAAGATTAGGAAAAAATGATGCTGTTGAACATGTGAGTATACATAATTAAAGACTTAAAATATGAAATATAGCTTTATTGGAAGAAAATGCAGGAAATTATTCCATGTATGAGAATGTATATATAAATACAGAAAGTTGCATTTAATGTAAAGTCTTTAATTTCACCTCCTCCTCTCTCACTAGTTAAATGTTGGGGGTGGCTATCGCTTTTTTTATGTGAAAAACAGAAATATACCTCAATGTAGAATAGCTGCCCTACTATCTCAAAACGTAAGACTTCAGTTTGTTTGTAGCACAAGAGAGCATAACACGTACGCTCAATATTCTTTCTTGAGCTTTTACTCACGTTTGTGTTTCCTAGTCTTAGCTTACCACAAAATTACAGTTGATGAAACATGTTTATAAGTTGATAAGTAACTGTTGATTCAGTGGTATTTGATTTAACCAAACAGAGCAGAATTACAGATGCTGGATTTGTCAAGGAAAAAGGTTATATCGGAAAAGAAAAACGGGTTCTGTACAGTTTTCCAGTTATTTGGGTGTCAGGTAATTCAGGCTGTCTGAAAGATTATCTACTTCCCCCCTGTTCTTTGCATTTATGGGTCCATCCAGAGTGAGCTGACAGTTCTGTTTTCTAAAAGCTGAGCACCTGACCCAGTGGTTTTGGGGAATCTTCATTGCTGTCTAGTTAATATGGTACGTGGGTGACTCGCTGATGCAGGGCATGGAGGCGCCAATCTGTAGACCCGACCCCTCGTCCAGAGAAGTCTTTTGCCTACCAGAGGCTCGAATAAGGGACGTCACGGAGAGACTGGCAAGGCTTGTCCAAGCGTCTGACTATTATCCCCTGTTAGTGTTTCATGTGGGCGCTAACGATGCTATGGGGAAACTGAGAAACATCAAACAAGATTTCAGAGCCCTAGGGATGGCAGTCAAAGGTCTGGGTGCCCAGGTTGTGTTCTCCTCTATTCTGACAGTGAGGGGAATGGGTATCAGGAGGAAAAGGCAGGTATTACAGGTTAACAACTGGCTGCGCCGCTGGTCTTGGCAACAGTTTTGGTTTCTATGATCATGGGACTCTGTGTGAGGATCACCAGCTAGTGGGAAACGATGGGAACGACCTCAGCAAGAGGGGTACGCGTGTCTTTGCCAAAAGGTTGGCCAGCCTGATTAGGAGAGCTTTAAACTAAGCATGAAGGGGGACGGGGAATGTTACATGGACAGGGCAACCTTCGGCATGCAGCCAAAGCCAGAAGGTATCCAACAGGAGTATGGTAGTGCGGAAGTGAGTATAGGAGATGACTATAGAGCAGGGGTCCTCAAACTTTTTAAACAGGGGGCCGGTTCACAGTCCCTCAGACACTGTCGGGGGCCAGACTATAGTTTGGAAAAAAATGAACGAATTCCTATGCACACTGCACATATTTTATTTGTAG